TAAAAATTCAAAAATTAAGAGATAATATTGATGATTTATAGTTAATATCTATTAATTATCCAACATAGGGGCATAGATTCTGACACGCCAAAAACCCTCTATTAACTAAAAAGATTAAGTGAGAAATCAACATATAACATTTTTCATTTAGAAAAAAAAACTAATTACAATAAATTTAAAAATGCTTAGGTGGTCACTAGTCAAAGTGTTTTAATCAAAATTTTAAAAGACACAAATGCTTAATAAAAAAATTGTAGAAACATAGTGGGGCATTCTAATTTTCTCTAATTAATATTATATGTTTACATCACTTATCATAGGTGTATAAAATTATGGTCTCTTTAGAATTATTAGCAATGAACTCACTTTTTTGCAATCTTTATGAAATACTTGTAGTTTATTTAAAATCTCTTGTTTTATTACATTTATTTCCAATTTACTTACAATAATATTATTTTAGATCGACAATTAGTTGAAGGATTAGGTTACGTTTAAAAAAAATTAAATTGTTTTGGAAAATGACAAAAGACAGTCAACATAATTTTCAAATTTTAAATAAAATTTTACATTTTAAAAGTGTGAGATATGGTAATTTAATCCAAGAACGATTTTTAAAAACGATATCCCAAAAAACGTATTTGCTAGTAATTTTAGAAAATGTAAAAGGGTTTTTTTTCGCAACGACCACCTGAATTTGTAAGCATGTGCAATAATACCACCTGAACTTTCAATTTTATTTTTTACTATCTAAACTCTCTTAACTATTGAGATCTACAAGCTACGTTACTTCCATTTATTTTGAGGAAAACTAATAAAAATGACTTTAAAACTTTGAATTTTAACCAAAAAATCATCATATAACTTTATTTAATGATAAGGACAAGAAAAAAAAATAAAAATAAAAATTCACTGACTAAAGGTGCGTGCAATTGCACACCAACCATGTAGACGACCAACAAAAGGTTGGTTGGAAAGCTATGAATTCATCAAAGGGTTTTTATCACAAATGATCATTGAGATTGACCAAACTTATCATTTTGGTCACTCACTTTCAAAATCAAGCAATGTCGTCTCTGACATTCAATACCTCACATCAATTTGGTCATTCCGTTAAGATTCCATCAACTATTTTGTTAGTTTGTATGTGAAACCCACAAATCCAATCAAATGGTGACATGTGGATTACACAAAATAAGGGATTTTATTGCAAATGGTCCATAACATTGATCCAACTCCTTATTTTGGTCTCTGAGTTTCAAAAATCGATAAATTTGGTCCCTGACTTTCACTACCACGTATCAATTTATTCCCTCAGTTAATGTGGTCCCACTAATCCAATTATATGGCTCAATGTGGATTAACTAAACTATTTTTTTAAGAGTGAACCAAAAGAAGAGTATTCCGCGTTGGCATTTTTCTCTCATCCCACAACCCTAATTGGAAGAAAAAAAAATTCAATCTAAATTCAATCCAAATTTGATAGTATTTAGGATTATAACCAACTAAAGAGAATGAGGAGTGAGTTCAGGAGGCCAAGCACATTAGTGGTCTCATGGTGCCTTCCTTTTCCTTTTGAGCATACCCTGATGAAGACGACGATGATTTTTTTTTTTTGGTTTTTAGTTTCTTATTTTACTTTTAGTTTTAAATCTTAAAAAAAAAATAGTTTATTATAGTTACTCCATGTAGCACCATATGATTGGATTAGTGGAACAAAAAATATTAACGAAACTTTAACAGAATGATTAAATTGATGTGTGGTATTGAAAGTCAAGGACCAAATTTATTGATTTTTGAAACTTAGGGACCAAAATGAGGAGTTGGATTAATGTCATGGACCATTTGCGATAAAAACCCTTATTTTGTGTAATCCATGTGTCACTATTTCATTGGATTTGTGGGTCCCACATAAAAACTAACAGAATAGTTGATTGAATATTAACGGAAAGACCAAGTTGATGTGCGGTAGTGAATGTCAAGGATGACATTTATTGATTTTGAAAGTGAATGATCAAAATAATAAGTTTGATTAATCTCAAGAACCATTTGTGATAAAAACCCTTTATCATTAAACCAAACCTTTGCCGTGGATATGAAGGTTCCTTCTTATCAAGATTTCTAAATTTGATCCTTATGGGTCATTATTGATTGAATCTTAACGGAAAGACCAAGTTGATGTGCGGTAGTGAATGTCAAGGACGACATTTATTGATTTTGAAAGTGAATGATCAAAATAATAAGTTTGATTAATCTCAAGAACCATTTGTGATAAAAACCCTTTATCATTAAACCAAACCTTTGCCGTGGATATGAAGGTTCCTTCTTATCAAGATTTCTAAATTTGCTCCTTATGGGTCATTTTATCTTTAACTAAATTTATCCTGTTCCATAGACTGTTGAGGTGGATTTTGAGTGTGTTGCGCAATACTTTTCTGGAGTGCATTCCTTACGGGATCTAATACAAACAAAAGTTTCTTAAGAAAGAAGTGAATGTATGATTCTTCCTTCTCCTTGATGATTGCATATCTGGGTTCTTTGTTGTCGTTTCAAGTTTCAATTATATTCACACACACAAAAAAAAAAAAAAAAAAAAAAAAAAAAAAAAAACCATTGCGCTATTTTTCTTTGGGTGGATCGGTATGCAAGTTATGCCGAGTGAGGTGTTGCTTGTGGTTGTTTCTGTTTGCAGGTTATATGGTCTAATGGATTTTATTTGGGATATGAAGAATGCCATGGGCATGGGCATCACCACCATCATCACCACCATGAAGGTGGTTGGTACTCAAGGCATGCAGCGAAACCAAGGTTCTAAAAAACGCTAGGCACTAGTCGGGCGGCAGGCTAGCGCCTAGCAACTAGGCGGCTAGGCGGGGTCAATGCGGGTGCTTAGGCGGCCTAGGTGGATTTAGGTAAATTTCTTATATATTTTATGAATTAATTAAATTTACTATATCAAATGTAATAATTATTGATTAATATGTTATTTCTTATAGAAGAACATATATATGTGACTGTTTTATGTACATATATGATATGCTTTCCTAGAAAAAAAATTATCTAAATAATTTATAATTTATATAAGATTTATATACACACACACAATATATATAACAAACTTTTAAAAATATAAAAAGCCCATTATGTGGTGGTTTTTATTATTAAAACCATCAACCTATCTGCTCTTTCACATCACATGTCCACTTTGGGTGGTTTTCATTATTAAAACCACTAGAGTCCATGGTTTTCTTAATTAAAACCATCAGATTTTGACTTGGATTTGAGATCCAGTCGGCACCACTACATTTGAAATGTTTATCTCTCTCTCTCTCTCTCTCCTCTCATCTTCATAGATGACTGCAGAAATTCGCCAGCAACATTTTTTCTTCCTTCATCTTCAGTTCACAGAGACGAGCTCCACTTCTTCGATTGCTCCACCCAATTCTCCATCGTCTTCTCTGCCTAATTCCCCATCTTCTTGCCCTGCCAAATTTCCCAAAATATAGTCTAGCACAACAAAGATCCTTGAAAACGTTGCTAGCTCCGGTGAAGAAATATGAAGAGTCCAAGTCAAATTTTTTGTTTTTTTTCTTCCAGCAATTGCCTAGTTCACCGCCGAGACCGCCTAGCTCGCCGTCGAGACCGCCCAGCCCACCCAGTCGGCCGCCTAGACACCGCCTAATACCCTTGCCGATTTATTGAACGTTTTTGGAAAAATCGCGACGGCAGTCCGACGCCCAGTGCCTAGGCGCCGCCTTGATCGCGTTTTAGAACACTGAGTGAAACATGATAAGACACTATTTCTAAAACTGAACAAAAAAATAGAGCAAAAAAAGAAACACTATTTATGAAACTAGAACAAGAAAGAGACATTATTTATGAAACTAACCAAGAAGACATTGTGTATGAAACTGTACCAACTACTATACACTATTTATGAAACTGGACCAAGAACTAAACATTATTTATGACACATGACCAAGAACTAAGCACTACATATGAAAGTGGACCACAAGAACTAGACACTATTTATGAAACTGGACTAAGAATGAGACACTATATGAAACTGTACCAATTATTATACACTATTTATGAAACTAGACCCAATAACTATGCATTATTTATGAATCTGGACCAATAAATAGTTTAATATTATTCAGTTCCATAAATAGTATAGTACCGTTCAGTTTCATAAATAGTGTGGTATCGTTAAATTTCATAAACAATGTAGTAATGTTGAGTTCCATAAACAGTGTATGTGATTGACGCGCGGATCTAGTGGGTTAGGTTTTTTTTTTTAAAATTTTTGTATATTAAAATTGTGTCATTTCATTAAAATTTAAGTTATTTTGTAATCTTTATTAAAATTTAAGGGTTTTCATTAAAATTTAAGTTTTTTTCATTAAAAAAAATTATAGCATGGCTTTTTGTTAAGATAAAATTAGCCCAAACCCTTTTCATGAAATCTCCCTTAATTTTGTCGTTAAAACATGTCACCTGTAAGGAAGTTTTTGTCAATTAAAGTCATGGATTGGCTAGAATCAAATTGGCTCCAAAATAACACTGCCTGAGTCAATATGGTGTCAAAATTGGTGGTTTGTACAAGCCCAATTTGATAATTCCCTCGATAAGAATTTGAAAAGTTAAGTGATATTGGTGCACATGCTTACAAATTTAAGTGGTACTTGTGTACAATCGACAATGAAAAAAATACAGTTAATAATAAGAGTTAGACGAAAAAGAAATGGATGTGATATTCACACACCCCATTTTACTTCTTACACCCCTTGATAATTTATGTTTGTTAATCTTCTTCAATTCATCCGATCCGACGATTAAAAATTAAAAAGGTGTGTGGATATCACACCCCAAAAGAAAAAGAAATAAGTAAAAGATCTAAAAAAGGAAAAAAGAAATACTTTGGTACCGTTGCAAAGCAGGCATTCCACCGGTCAAAAATTCAAAATGTGGATTCTATAGTTATATATTGTAATCTCTAACGGTCATATCGCCGCATCTCCAGCGCTCTACCTTTCATCCAACGGTCATATCGCATCTCCAACGCTCTACTTTGGTACATTGTGGATGTCATCTTTCGAGCCCCAGAAATTATGCACGTATTCTAAATCAATTCAAAGTTTTTACCCAGAAAAACAAAGTGCAAGAAATGGAGGTAAAATCTTCCGATAAGGAATGGAGGAGGATTTCTTCATCGACACCCCCAAAGCGTCCTCTAACCCCAAAGCCCTCTGCATCTGGTACTCTCTCTCTCTCTCTCTCTCTCTCTCTCTCTCTCTCTCTCTCTCTCTCTCTCTCTCTCTCTCTCTCCATTGGTTTTTAGTAGAAAGATGTAATTCCTGTTTTCTCCGTATCCGAAACGAAGCATTAGAAGTCTTCTGATTGTTTAGATGTTTTAGTTTGTGTATCAAGACTTGTGTTTTTCACGAATATGCAGACGAAAACGATCAATATTGTCAGCAAGTGGGTAACTCCAATCAGCAGAGCCCCAGGAAACCTCTGACAAAGAACTACATGTCACCAACCATATCTGCAGCTTCCAAATCTAATGCCACTGCTTCAAGAAAGAACATCTTAAGGGAAAGAAACGACGCCTCCCAACCCGATTTTTCAAATACCCATGTTGAAAAATCGCAGAGCCCCAATCTGCAAACCCCCAAGAAACCATTGACAAAGAACAACACGTCACCAATCATATCCATATCTGCAGCTTCCAAACGCATGGCCATTGCTTCAAGAAAGAACATCTTAGGGGAAAGAATGGAGGCCTCTGAACCAGATTTTTGGAATACCCATGTTGAAAAATCCCATAAAGCTATTGATAATGTTAGTCATTCTTTGTCTCAAGCCTTGCCAAAATCCCCTCCAAGTTTTCAATCCCATGATGCTGATGAGGCTCTTTCCAATGATTTGGCTTCAAGGCCATATGACCCAGTAACCAATTACCTCTCTCCGAGGCCTCAGTTCCTCCGCTACAAGCCCAACAGGCGGCAAGAGTTGTTTCTTGGCCTAGAAAATGGTGTTGGGTTCAGGACCAGTACAAGTGGTTCTTTTGATTACCAGAAAGCCACTGGTGAGGAAGTTGGCGCTGTCACAAGTCCTAGTTCTTTGGCTTCACCTCGTCCAGATGGGTCTCTTACGCAAGAAGATGAAGAAGTTGAGTTGAGTGATAGTGGTTCTTTTGATTACCAGAAAGCTACTGATGAGGAAGTTGGTGCTGTTACAAGTCCTGGTTCTTTGGCTTTGCCTCATCCGGATGGCTCTCTTAAGCAAGAAGATGAAGAGATCGAGTTGAGTGATAGTGGTTCTTTTGATTACCAGAAAGCCACTGATGAGGAAGTTGGTGCTGTTACAAGTCCTCGTCCGGATGGGACTCTTAAGCAAGAAGATGAGGGAATTGAGTTGAGTGATGAAGACATTGAAGCAAGTGATGCAGAAGTTGAGGGGCGTGATGAGGAAAGCGATGAGGAGGAATATGAGGAGGTTGAGGAAGAGAAGGGCGGGAAATTGAAAGGGGTATTAAAAAGTTTACTTCTTTTGTTGGCTATAGTTCTCTTTGCCTCATATATGTCTCCAATGAACCATCAAACACACTTTGAAGGCATGGACGATGCGTATTGCAGCACTCAGAACTCTACAATTGAAGCTGCTTTGTTGAAGAAACTTGAAAGTAGAGGTAATCTTTCGGATCAAAAAGAAGAAAGACATACGGGTTTTGTGGAAGTAATTAAAGGAGCTATTGAAATGGGGACCGAGGAGGTTATCGTTCAAGGAGAAGAGATGCAAATTGATGAAGATATTGAGGATGAAGCGAAGGTTGAAGATGAGAACTTGGGAGATGTAGAACTTGCTGATGAGATGAGAGAAGTGGTGAAGCCACAAGCTGAAGAAATTGAAGAAGAAAAGGAAGGAGGAATTCATGGTTTGGGTGAAGTAGTGGTGATGCCACAACTTGAAGATATTGAAGATATTTCTGGTGACATAGTTGAGAAATCTGAGTTGCAGGGTGTTGGACCATCCATGTCTGATGATTTTGATCATCAGAATTTAGTGTCTGATGTTTCAAATGCTTTTGAAAAAGGAGAGGTTGCAGCGGAGCAAAATGATGGAATAGTTGAGAAAATAATGGACATGGCAGCAGAACCTGTTATACCAGAGACCATGGATAACGATGATATAAGCTTTGATGAGGCTTCCGATTTAAAAGCAGAAGGGAACTGGAGGGAGGAGCTGATCAATTTCATGAAATCGAAAACATTTTACGCAGCTGCTATTGGGGTTTCTGTATTTTCTGTGATTGTTGCCTCTTTGGTGTCAGTGTTTCGCTTTAAGCAAAGGAATGCTACTAAAAGGGATTCTCGTGTGATGGCAAGTCCTTCTGCTAAACCTCTGGCAATAGAGCAGAAGAAAATCAACGGGAACATTTCTTCTCCGCCCTCAAAGCCGTATTATGAGCCCTTGACAGCAGAGAGATACAACTTGGCATTTCCTGGTAGGGGAGACGACAGCATTGAGCATGTTTACTCATCTTTCAGAAGGATGTCTCTGTCTTCCAAGCACTCAACCGGGGCAGCTTCCGGAGAGTATTTCCATAGCAAGGCACCGACAGTTGAATTGCTCAGCGAGCTTGTGGTCGGAGAGGTCAGCAGCTCTCTAAGGACCTGTGATATGAAAAACAAGATGACAGAAAGTGAAGAAAACAACTATTCTGTTTCTTCAAAAAAGTTGGGGAGCAAAGATCAGTCAATTTCTATTCAAGTGCAGCCGTCGGAGTCAGAGTTTTCGTCCATGGATTCCCATTCCTACGGAAGCTTTAGTACGCCTCAGATGGCCATGAAGAAAAAAAAGGTGAGAACTTTTCGGTTGCAGAAATTTTTTGCTTAAATTAAATATGTGCGTTTGAAACTAATTTATTCGTATCATGAAAATTAATTATTTCTTCTTGTTCTTTCTCTGTGTCAATTTAGGAGGGTGGTAAAGACGGAGAAATTACAACTCCGCTGAGGCGATCAAGCAGACTTCGCAACCGAACGGTCACGTCTCCATGAATCTTCCGGGCGGAAATCTATATTCTGACCTAACACACAGCAGCTAGGTTGTTTTGTAGTTCACCATTCTTCCACTGAAGAGTGTCCGGATGATTTTGGTTGTGTGATGCTAGTTTTTATAGAGAGAGAATCTGATATGTTCTTTTAGCATTTGGTTCTTCTTCATTTGCATTTTCTATATTTTTATTTGAACCAATAGCAGCACTAAAACTAAATTTCTACAAGCACAAAGCAAGAAGATTCACAGATTTAACTGATGTTAACATTCCTGCAAACAATAACTAGTGCGGATAATAAGGGAATAACTGAAATTCACAGCAAGCCGGTCACACTTCACTTCTTAAAAGAAACAAGTCGCCTTGCGGAAAACTACTACAAGTAAGAGTCTAGTACTTTAATAGTCCTCATAGTTCCTCTGCTATTCTCTAGCTGAGGCCGGCTGTCGTAGGCTAGGAATTGGTGTTGGCCACCACGGGAGGACGAACAAGTAGAACCACAAAGGTTGATCGAGTGTAGTGTTTTCCACAATCTTTGACCACTTTCTTGTACGAATGTTGCACATGATGATATCTCCATCCACCTCTAGATAAAAAATGTCCTCGTCATTTGGGTCGAAATTTAGCCTCTGAACGACTTGTGCATCATCCGGATACATTTCTTGATCTAAGGAATAAACCTCCTGTTTGCTCAAACACAATTTGCTACCGCCCTCAGCCACAGAATCATCATCTTGTTCTTTCAAATCCCAAACATACAGAGTTCTGGTATCTCTGTGAAAGTCACTCATCCGCACAACCCCTCCAGATACGCTTGGGCACTCCACTACAAAATTCTCGTCTTCAGGGTAATCAAATACAGTGAAACTACATTCCTGGTCAGCAAACGGATCCAAACCAAGAACCAGAAAACAGCCATCACGGTGACCCGACCAGTACAAAACTCCATTGTACACAAAGGCCATATAATCGAGAGTGTCATATATAATTCCCTGTGGGGATGATACAACTAACTCTCTCCATTTGCCTGTCTCTGAAGAGAAAATCTCCACCTTGAAGTTGTAGAAATATCCATCAGGATCAAAGTTAAATTCATCATTAGGATGAAGAATTCTCACAACCTTGTACCTATAGTTATCATTAAGCTCCACAATGTCATTCTGGCCGTCCTCCTTATAGTAAGGACCGTCGCAGATGAGTCCCACCGGCATGGTGCCTATGGTGTCGCGTCCCCAACGGGGGCGAGGAAGAGCAACCCATTGCGTGGTGTATGGATTGCAGATGTAGTATTCAGTTTGATCAAACAAGGTATTAGAGCACAAAATCAAGTCATTGTAAGTGGCTACCACAACTGGCTCTCTTCTCAAACCGTGCAAACTCTGGAGCCTTTTCAACATATGAGGTATCACTTCCGAAGAGGGCTGAATTCTGTTAAGGAATTCCTCCCCATTGCGGTTTATCAAAGTGCGTACCACCGGCATTTTGTTATCAATTTGCAGACGCAAAAAGCGGTTAACAAAATGACGGCTGGAGATGAGAGTGAACCAACGCTTGCACACGCACTTGCATTGAAAAATGAAATTAGCGCAAGGAAGTCGACAAAGAATTTCAACCAATACGGACTCGGGGAGATTATTAATACTAATGTTCATCAATGTCGACATATTTTCTCTTGCTGATAACGATCTACTGCTTCCTCTCACTATACAACAACATATACATACAATCAGAGTTATACACTTAGGGTTTCAAATTTCAATACAATAAATTGAGCAATAAATTAACCATAGTCAGAATCAGAAAATAAAACATGAAATTAAATCAAAATATGCAGGAAACTACTTTAACTCGATGGATTTATGAACCGTATATTTAGAAATTGGGATTTAAGGGGGAGAAATTCTACTGGGATTAAACAGAAAGCTGTAAATTTAGGGTTTTACCTGGTCAGTAAGATTGAGGAGGATGATTTTGTTGAGCAAAATCACAAGAAATATAAAGAAAGACGATTACAAAATCCATGATAGCCAAATTGTTTTCGCTACGGATTCTGAGAGTGGAGTTTGGAGAAGGGTAAAATGTAACCGACGCTCAGAAGTAAATAAACCGTCAACAAGTAAATGCATCTGCATGTCATGATTTGGGTTGTTGGGCCTTAATGTGAATTGATTGGATAATTACTTGGGAATGTGGGCTCATAGTTTAATAAAAAGGCATTGTTTCCCTATGTGCTCCAATTCGGATACTCACTTCTTCGTTGTTTAGATTAGATTGATTAAAACATCACGATTTTTAAGGTGCATATTGTGCGTGTGAACAAGATGTGAGCCGTTGGATCAAAATTGAATGGCTGAAAACGAATCCAGCATAATGAGCTTAGAATGAAACCGGATCATAAATAACCCATCACTTAATTAAAATGGTACCCGGCATGAATTCAAAATTTGTTGGGATTTAAATTGTCACTCCCCATCTTTAGTAAGTCTTGTCATCCTCCAAAAATACTCCCTCTCCTGTGTTTGCTCAAACATCATTACCGTCGAAAACAACCTCAAAAACTTACTTCCCGTTCCAAACTCAGTTATAATTAGTATTATGAGCCGTCTTGTTATACTTGGAAACTACAAACTTTGCGATCGCTTTCACACGCCAGTCGTCGACAATCCTAATCGACGTCCAAGGACCGACGGGAAAAGGAGCATTATTTAGGTTTGTTGGTGTCGTGTACGAAGAGGGAAGAGGAGAGCAATGAATGCGAGCGCAAGTGGAATATTTTTCAAAGTTTATTGACAGTTTTTGCAGAAGCTAACCACACCCAACCAAATTAGCAGATAAGTTCCAACCTAAAAAGAATATAAAAGAAATAGGATTGGCAATTAACGACTTAGGGGTCGTTTGGCAACCACCTTGTTTTTATCATTTTGGAAAGAAGGGTGTATTGGAGAAAGAAAGAGAGAAGGGATGGAGGTGGAAGAAAATGTAAGTAGGGATGGGCAAATACTAGGCCTGGCAAACGGGTCGTATCTGTCGTGTTCGTGTCGTTTTCGTGTAACATCTGTTATCTTAACGGGTCGTGTCGTGTCACACCTGTTATCTTAACGGGTCCTTAACAGGTCGGGTCACCGGTAAAGTGACCCGACCCGTTATGACCCGTTACGACCCGTTAAGAAAAATATATTTTTTTCTTAAATTTGCACATACCACACATTGCCACATAAATATTACTTCAAAACATTAAAACACATTTATCGTTTAAGTACTACATCTACACTCGAAAATAAGAGCTTAATAAAAAAACATTCATACACTACTAGTCAAAATTTTAAATTTAATTTAATATATAGATTCACTAACACTTAAGAGTTATTCATACTTTCATTAAGTATAACATAAGATTTTGTGGTATCAACTATTGTAAATATTTTAAATTGAAGATCGAGTTCATTCAATGTATTCATATAGGGTCAAGGAGTGTAGATGTAAAAAATCATCAAAATCGGAGTTAAAATAACCGTTAAATCGTGATTTTTCATTTTATAACCGTTGAAAAGTTTTGTCCTGTTACTTGATCTCTTAATGTTTGTTTTTTTCAATTTTTGGCGTATGTGATCTCGAAGTATATACAAACATGTTTGACGGTTGGATCGTTGAAACTAGTTTCGTAGAATGTGTATCCCATAAAAACAATAGATTCACTAATACTTAAGAGTTTATTCATACCTTCATTAAGTATAACATAAGATTTTATGGTATCCACTATTGTAAATATTTTACATGAAGATCGAGTTCATTCATTGTATTCATATAGGGTCAAGGAGTGTAGATGTAAAAAATCATCAAAATCGGAGTTAAAATAACCGTTAAATCGTGATTTTTCATTTTATAACCGTCGAAAAGTTTTGTCCCGTTACTTGATCTCTTAATGTTTTTTTTTTTCAATTTTTGGCCTCGAAGTATATACAAACATGTTTGACGGTTGGATCGTTGAAACTAGTTTCGTAGAATGCGTATCCCATAAAAACAATAGATTCACTAATACTTAAGAGTTTATTCATACTTTCATTAAGCATAACATAAGATTTTGTGGTATCCACTATTGTAAATATTTTAAATTGAAGATCGAGTTCATTCATTGTATTCATATAGGGTCAAGGAGTGTAGATGTAAAAAATCATCAAAATTGGAGTTAAAATAACTGTTAAATCGTGATTTTTCGTTTTATAGCCGTTGAAAAGTTTTGTTCCGTTACTTGATCTCTTAATGTTTGTTTTTTTCAATTTTTGGCATATGTGATCTCGAAGTATATACAAACGTGTTTGACGGTTGGATCGTTGAAACTAGTTTCGTAGAATACGTATCCCATAAAAACAATAGATTCACTAATACTTAAGAGTTTATTCATACTTTCATTAAGTATAACATAAGATTTTGTGGTATCCACTATTGTAAATATTTTAAATTGAAGATCGAGTTCATTCATTGTATTCATATAGGGTCAAGGAGTGTAGCTGTAAAAAATCATCAAAATCGGAGTTAAAATAACCGTTAAATCGTGATTTTTCGTTTTATAACCGTCGAAAAGTTTTGTCCCGTTACTTGATCTCTTAATGTTTGTTTTTTTCAATTTTTGGTGTATGTGATCTCGAAGTATATACAAACATGTTTGACGGTTGGATCGTTGAAACTAGTTTCGTATAATGCATATCCCATAAAAACAATAGATTCACTAATACTTAAGAGTTTATTCATACTTTCATTAAGTATAACATAAGATTTTGTGGTATCCACTATTGTAAATATTTTAAATTGAAGATCGAGTTCATTTATTGTATTTATATAGGGTCAAGGAGTGTAGCTATAAAAAATAATCAAAATCGGAGTTAAAATAACATTTGAAAAGTTTTGTCCCGTTACTTGATCTCTTAATGTTTGTTTTTTTCAATTTTTGGCGTATGTGATCTCAAAGTATGTACAAACATGTTTGACGGTTGGATCATTGAAACTAGTTTCGCAGAATGTATATCCCATAAAAACAATAGATTCACTAATACTTAAGAGTTTATTTATACTTTCATTAAGTATAACATAAGTTTTTATGGTATTCACTAGTGTAAATATTTTAAATTGAAGATCGAGTTCATTCAGTGTATTCATATAGGGTCAAGGAGTGTAGCTGTAAAAAATTATCAAAATTGGAGTTAAAATAACCGTTAAATCGTGATTTTTCGTTTATAATCGTCAAATTTTTTTGTCCCATTACTTGATCTCTGAATATTTTTTTTTTGCAATTTTTAGCATATACGATCTCTAAACATATACAAAATGTTTAACGGTTGGATCGTTGAAATTAGTTTCGTAGGATGCGTATCTCATCTTTCCCTCTCTTTTTTGTTTCCTTTTCTTATCATTTTCTTTTTTCCCTCCTTTTTTTTTTGAAAACTTTTTCCCTCCCTTTTTCTTCAAAGGACGGACACCTCACCTCACCTATACTACACGGTACAGTGGTACTGGTACACCCATCTTTCCCTCTTTTTATTGTTTCCTTTTCTTATCATTTTCTTTTTTCCCTCCTTTTTTTTTTTGAAAACTTTTTCCCTCCCTTTTTTCTTTCAAAGGGCGGATGACAAATGCATATTAATTGTTATAGTTTTTAGGGGTATAAAATTTAATATATATATATATATATATAATTATTATAGTTAATATTTTTGGGGGTATAATTATTATAGTATATATAATTATTATAGTTTTTAGGGGTATAAAATTGTTAAATTAATATATATATATATATATATAATTATAGTATTTGTTTAGGGTTATAAAATTATTAAATTAATATTCTACTTATCGTGTATCGTGTTACCCACGTGTATACCCGAACCAACCCGTTATCTTAACAGGAGCTTATTGGGTTACCCGATAACGACCCGATTTGTTATCGTGTCGACCCGAACACCTGTTAATTTCGTGTCGTGTCGTGTCGGGTTATCGGGTCGTGTCAGGAATCGCCAGGCCTAGCAAATACCCATCGGTTATGGGTAACCGCAGTTATCCGTCCATTTAAAATTCACGGTTACGGTTATGGATAACCATTTAGATAAATAAACGGTTATGGATATAACCGTTTACCCGCAAAATTTAAATGGGCGGTTATGGGTATTAACCGCGGTTATAAACGGATAACCATTTACCCATTTATTTTATATCTGTAAAATTATAACACAAACCATGTTCCTTATCGAACAAAAATTAGATCAATGCTATTGATTATAGTGTCACATCCTGGCCCAGGCGGGATCACTTCCCAGGCTCGACTCTGCTGTAGCACGATATTGTCCGTTTTGGACCCCGACTATGCCCTCACGGTTTTGTTTCTAGGAACTCACATGAGAACTTCCTAGTGGGTCACCTATCATGGGAGTGCTCTCGCGCGCTACTCGCTTAACTTCCGAGTTCCGATGAACTCTGAAGCCAGTGAACTCCCAAAATGCCTCGTGCTAAGTAGGGATGGTAATATACATATAAGGATTACTCCCCTGGGCGATGTGGGATGTTACATATAGTGCATGATTTCTATAGCTAATATAATATAGTTTTCCTTAACCACTTTAAATTTCATGGTCCATTATATATATATGATGTTAATATTTTACATTACGAGTTAAATAACCCAAGAATACTATCTTTTAACAGTTTTCGTAACCCAAGAATACTTAGCAAATTTTATATTACCTTCATTGCTAACAGTTAAAAATATCGTCTGTAAACTATTATTTCAATTATTGGAATGATATAAGGACTTAAAAAATTAAAATGCGAAAATGTATAATGAATGTACCTATAACGGTTTTTAATTGTTAGAAAAAGAAAATTATGACAAATTTTTCTTTTTTAATTTTCAAGTTGTTAAAAAGACACGTAGAAGGGTGAAAAAGGAGTAAATGGTAAAAAAGAAAGGATAAACGGGTTTAAAAATGATAAATGGGTAAACGGGTACTAAACAGTTACGGTTAAATGGGTACACGGTTATGGGTATGGTTAACCGTTTATAAATGGTTATGGGTATGAGTATAACCGTTTAGACAATTACCCAACGGGTAAACGGTT